GAGTGCCTTGCTGTACATACTATCATGATTTCATAGTATGTGGAGGTGAAATCAAAGTATCGCGTACAGACTAAAGAGTTGTTTTGTTTTGTTTTGTTTTGTTTTGAGGCTCTCAAGCACCTTAAGTTTTTCAACACATGAGTTAAAATGGATGCCTCCTTCCTCAGGTTTGCAGTATAGACTCAGAATAGATTGCTTAATGAACACAGTCACTGTGGTCTTCTTAGGGGAACAGAAAAGTCCTGATTAACTTTACATTCTGAGAGGAGGCCCATACAAGGCCTGAGATTCAGTTGAATCTGAGGTCTTTGTTAGAACCTGTGTTTATGGCCTTCATCAGTGAAATTGGTCTTTTCTTGTTTCAGAAAAAAAAAAAAAAAAAGGCAAACCACTGGGCTGGTTTCAAAAATTTACTGGTCTTGTCTTCAAATCCCCATCATTCCTTTATCTGCTTTTGGGGGGGACTACGTGGATAAAAGACCTGATTGTCTCTACAACAACTTCCCCTAGTCCTTCATTCTCCTCCAGGCAGAAAGATGACAGGCCATAGTAAAGACGTATTTCAGATGCTGAGATGTTTCCTAAGAGGACAACCTGGCAGAAAAGTCAGGTGGGGGCGGTGAGGCACCAGGGAATATCCAGATCCACCCTCTTAATGGTGGCTACTTTCCCGGCAGCCCTGCACTGAGGGACCTCTCTCCCTACCTCTTTTTCTCTCCCCTTGCAGTCTCTGTCTCTTTTCTGGTCTGTATCTGACCTATCATAGTAAGAGGTCAGTATGTTTTCCACACTCGGATAATCTCATTCAAGAATTTTTGTCAATGGACAAGTCATGAGAAGCCCTTCCATTTTAGGGCTCGTTGACGTCACCAAGGAGGCGATAAATATCTGTTGATATAATTGGATGTGAGATTCAGTGTTGAAACAGCAGAACTCTGTCCCTCGCTGCTTGGCAGGGCCCTATGATTTATGCAGGAGCAGAGGCAGCGCGCAATCGAGCTGTCAAGAGAGCGTCAGCTTATTAGGCAAATGCTGCGTGCTTTCTGAAGAGGGTCGACGTTATAAAATCTCACTCCAGGCTCTGGTGTGGAGAAACTCAGAGCCCAAGTACATTGAGAGACTGAAGAGAAAGGGAAGAGGGGGAAAAAAAAAAAAACAGAAAAAGGAGAAGAGAAAAAAAGAGGAAGAAAACCTGCAAAAGGCATCCTGGGTGAGAGGTCCCTCTGCAGAGGCAGCAGCGCGTGCTCACCTGCCAGAGGAGAAGGTAGGCAGCGCCTAGACGGGCGCCACCAACTTTGTGTGCCTGAGCTGCTATGGTGCGCCCTGGAGCCAGCTGTCCTTGTGCTGGAGTGCCTGTACTTGTGCGTGGGTGCGGGTGTGTGTGTGTGTGTGTGTGTGTGTGTGTGTGTGTGTGTGTGTGTGTCGCCAACTGTGCTTTAAAATTCTTTAAAATCCCGGTAACAGCGGTGATGTTGCGAAAAGCAAAGTTAGACGGCCGCTGCTCATGTTTATCTACCCAATCTGCCACTCACCACTCACAGTCTGTGTAAAGAACGGCTCCCCTATCGTGTCCCGTGTCCATCCCGACCCTCCAAGCAAAAGGAGCAGGGGCAGGGGTGGAGACAAAGAGGAGGTCGTTCTCAGTTTGGAAGAAAAGGCTGTCCGAAAGGGGAGGGTCAGGGCGAGCGCTAGCTTAAACCTGTGGCACTTCTCCGGGCTTAGGGAAGTCCATTTGGGGAATACATTCGGCAGGTCCTTAGGAAGAGGAGTCGGGGCTGCCCCTTCCGTGTCTCCAAAGGAGGGTCACTTCACTTGCTGGCTAGCGGATGAGCCTTGCGGGGTACCTAGCTTCAGAACCGAGGACAGCGCCACCGGAGCCCAGAGCGGGTCTTGTCTGTGGGTGGAAGCCCCGCTGCACCTTCCAGTTGAGCTAAATTCTGACTACTCTTCCCTCTCTCCCCTGCCTTCTCTCTTCCATCCCCCCCCCCCCCCCCCCCCTCGGTGCTGCAGCGAGCGCCCCAACCATGCGGCTGCGGCTGCTGGTATCCGCGGGCATCCTGCTGGTGGCTCTGTCGCCCTGCCCGCCTTGCAGGGCCCTGCTGAGCAGGGGACCTGTCCCCGGAGCCCCGCGGGCCCCGCAGCCTCTGAATTTCTTGCAGCCGGAGCAGCCCCAGCAGCCTCAGCCGGTTCTGGTCCGCATGGGTGAAGAATACTTCCTCCGCCTGGGGAACCTCAACAGGAGCCCCGCTGCTCGGCTGTCGCCCGACTCCACGCCCCTCTCCGCCGGTCGCGGCAGCCGCCCCTCGCACGACCAGGCAGCCGCTAACTTTTTCCGCGTGTTGCTGCAGCAGCTGCAGATGCCTCAGCGCTCGCTCGACAGCCGCGCGGGGCCGGAGGAGCGCGGGGCCGAGGATGCCCTCGGAGGCCACCAGGGGGCGCTGGAGAGGGAGAGGCGGTCCGAGGAGCCGCCCATCTCTCTGGATCTCACCTTCCACCTTCTGCGGGAAGTCTTGGAAATGGCCAGGGCAGAGCAGTTAGCTCAGCAAGCTCACAGCAACAGGAAACTGATGGAGATTATCGGAAAATGAAATGGTGCGTTTGGCCAAAACTATTTTGCATTTAGCACAAAAGTACAAATAAAAAAAATTTAAAACACAGTATTCTGTACCATATCGCAGCTCCTGATATCATTTGTTTATTTTTATATAGCTTGAAGCATAGAAGATGTACATGGAGAGAGCCTATATGCCCCTTAATTAGCATGCACAAAGTGGTATTCCTGTGCAGTAACAAAACAGCGTTATTTGTATTGCCCACGCCTAGTTTCCATGTGCGCATAAGTGTCTTTACAGCGATATCTTAAAGAAAATGTGGACCCACAGAGGAAACCTTTTAAAGAAGCAAATGGGAGGCACCCGGTTGTTTTTGTTTGGGGTCACAGTTGAAGGGAATTAATTCTTGAGGGGTGGCTAGGACGAAATATGTAAGCTCTTTCAATCAACTTTTTTCTTGTAAATGTTTCAATAATAAAACATCTTTCCCATCCTTGGCCAATTTGGTTGTGTAAGAGAACGCTGAATATTTATATTTTTAATAAAATCTGCAAAGGTTATTGTGATTTTATTTTTCATCTTCAGTGTGCATAAAGAAATGGCCTCAGCACAAGAAAATAAAAACAACAGAACAAACAAACAACAACAACAACAACAAAAAAAACCCAAATCCTCCTACATTTTACTTTCTCCTAAAAATACCAACATTGGTCAAGTAGCTCACACCAGCCCTGCAATTGTCTTGGGCTTTCCTCTGTAGCTCAGATTTCTCTTCTGAGATTAAGGTAAATAATTTTAGAGATTCCTCTCACCTCTAAAACTTGATAATTTCGAAGATCAGTCACAGTGGAAATAACACGCAAGCCTAACTGGCTGAGAGGCAGAGGAGAGTGTGCACCACGGCAAATGTGTGGAGGTCTGAGGACAACTGGTGGACGTCAGTTCTCTCCTACCATGCAAGTTCCAGGTGTTGAACTCCAGTCTCCAGGCCCAGAGACAAGCGCCTTGACCCTTCACCCACTGTACAGTCTCACTAGCCTTAGATAGGAGAAACTTAATGACACAAACACCTCAAGAAACTAAACATAGTTGCTGCAAAAGGGCACTTGAGAACTTTTTCCTTAAAAAAAAAAAAAAGAAAGAAAGAAAAAAGATGAACATTTTGGCTTTAATAGCCACACAAATACCCTTCATAGTTTTCTCTATCCCAGTCCTAATAACTGCAACTTGTAGGACTGTGTTATTTGCTTCTAAAATTAAACAGTACTTCTAATTAGCTGGACAATATATCTGCCTTTAGTAGTTTAGTTACAGCTCTGAAAATTTTAGTCCCATAATTAATACTTTAAAATTCTGAGGTCCTGGAAATGTGCTTGACTAATGTCTTAAAAATATAAAGTAAGTCTCAAAAAAAAAAAAACAAATATGTATACATATATAATATGAATCACTAAATAAAGTGCTAGAAGACTAAAGTTCTTAAAAACAACATTTATTTAAGAGTTCATTTAAAGCAAAGTTACACTTATGTGGGGAAGGCATGACAGATGTATATATTGAGATATATATACAGAGAGAGAGAGAGAGCAGTGGGAAGAACTGTGTATAAATTTAAATACATGCAGTTCTTCCATGGTTTATCAAATTGCTGCTGTGGTGGACACATAACAAAGTAGGCAATTCCTCCTAGAAAGTCTTCAATTAAGATGTCTGGCATATGACTATAAGATGCCCTTTGGCCTTCTGGACTATGGAAGTGTGGCCAAGCTTAAAGAATACTTCTGGCGGCACATCCAGTGACATAAGTAAAGAGAGTAACCTCTGTAGAACCCTTCATAGCTCTGGTCAGTGACCAGTTCTGTGTCCATATTTTGATGAATCAGTCCATTCTGAACTAACACTGAATGTCACCAGCTACCTGAACTGCAAGGAGCAAAGCAAAAGGCACAACTGTGCTAAAATAACAAGAAGCCTACATACCCACGAGAGACGAGAGTGCAATGCCCGCTTTGTTAACACTTGCCACTTCCAGCTGATGTACACACATGTACCAGCCCTACATAACCTTCAGAATGATTCTCATGCCGTAAAAGATTTGCCTAAGATCACGTTTCTTCATACCAGCCTTTTCTTCAGTTTTGTTCTGAGCGTATTCACTTTCTCAACAAGTTAGAGAAGTCATCTGGAATTAAAGTGGTCGGTCAGTCTGTCTGTCTGTTCTGTTCAGACATTCATTCATATGCATCATGTAAAATTCCATCCAGGTTCTCTGCTGCCTGTGTGCTTCTCCGCCAGGCCGACAGGGGGAAGCAGCCAGAATAAATATCATTCATTCAGGGAATTCAACCAAGAGAAGGAGAAGACATGGCGAGCTGGCTCAGAATCAGCCCCACCTCCACTCCCAGAGGCTGCAGCCTGTCCCTGGGGAGGAGGGGCCTCAAATCCAACCTGCAAAAGAAGAAAATGTAGATGAGATGAAGGAGAGAATAGCCCTTTTGGGAACTGGTCCAGTCACTGTTCTACTGAGGAAAGAGGATAATAATAATAATTATATAAAGTATAACTATTATTAGGGGCAGAAAGCAAGCTCAGGTTATCTTAGTTATGGTCACGAGCCATTAAAGTGATTCACACTCATGATTCAAAAGGAGCAGCCATAATGCATGCAGTGGAAGTACCCTTTCGAGGCAAGAGGCCAGGCTGCCCCATTTTGTGTTCCCAAGCTTAGTTGGTCATGATTTACTGACATGACAATCTCATTCATCCAAATTCAGGTTTACAAAAATCTGCACAGCTGATTAAAATCTTACTAAGTTTTTAAGTCACACCTCAGCAATAGCATGTTTCCCTAGCACATTTTAGGCCTGAGTTTCCTCCCCAATGTCATAAAAACAGAGAGAGGGTAAGGGAGGGAAGATATGGAGGAAAAGGTGGGGGAGCCCAAATTTAAGTAATGTTGCTGCATCACAAATAGTACTGGATATACTCATACTCATGTAACCTCTCCACTGCTGGCCTTAGGAGTTTCTGTCAGATTGTACTCACGTGCCACCTAATAGGAGTAGGCGTCCTAAAAATTCACCACTAGGTGACTTCCCTGTTATGTGAACACCGGTGTTCACACACACAGACGAAGAGGGTGACAATACCAGTAGGCCACACTATCTAAAAGAATCACACATTGGGATATCGCTGACAAAAACATCGCTATGCGTATGTTTGTGTGGTTATAAATCCCTCATTTGCAAAACCTGCCAGTTTTGCAAAGCTGAAGGATCAATGTTGAGCAAGTCCTGAAAGGAATATCTCTAGGCAATAAAAATCTTAGAACATTTATACAAAATCAAATCTAATATCAAAACTCCCTAAAAAGATACTTTTGGTAAGTATCTGACTGATACAGTTTATAAATTTAACTGACCAGTTCAGTCTTATAACTGAACTTCATGTTGTTTTTTGAGTTTTTAAAATGGAACAAAAAACATTCACATAAAAAGATTTGCAGGTTGATTAAATTTATTCAAACTGTGAAGGTACCATGATAAGCCTGGTTCTTCCCGGGGAAAATGGTCGAGCATGTTCTCACGCCTCACTGGTGAACTCTGCTGTGTGGAAATGCCAACGGCTCTGAAGCAATGAGGCAGCAGATACACTCAGTGCAGAAGGCCTGCGGGTCGGGGCGGGGCTGCGATGCCAGACACAGCGGAACTTCGGTCAGTATAAGTGTGTCGCTGCTATGCATAGTAGTTTTTAGAGGAAAGTGAATGCTTGGAAAGCACCTTCCCAGATTTTACCATAGATGGGGTGACATTTGAAAAACCAACACAATTAGAGTAACTTATTCAATTTTAGGAATATATATATATATATATATATATATATATATATATATATATAATTGCTTCCTGGTAGCAAGTTAATAATGATGTGAGGTCATATTAGATTGAAAGTGAAATACATTATTTTCTTAAAAAAAAAAAAAAAGCTGGAGTGTCAAGTGAAGTAGGTTTCCTTGGTTATGGGTTAGATATTCTCTGAGGTGGAACCAGGTGTGGAGGAGTTCAAAGTCATCTTCAGCTATGTAGTAAGCTGAGGCTAGCCTGGATTGCTTGAGATTCTGTCCCAAAAAAAAGAAAGGAAGTGAGATAAAGTTGATGGTATCTTTAGAGCCCTGTGGATGAGTTTACATGCCCAGAACAGTTATCTATGCCTAACCCTAACCAAAACAGCATCAGTGGACAAGACAGTTTTTTCTTCTGATCATTTTAGATAGATAACATTGTATTCTGCCTGGACCCTGTAGAGAGTCTTTTCTTTGAAGGCAGTGCCTACTCCAGAGACAATTTCTGTGACAGCTGGAAAGATCTAACAGGTGAAAGTAATAGGATAAGCTATTTCCTGAAAAAGATTATCATGTTTAGACAAGGGTGGGTGGCTGTTGGGGTGCTTTGGGGATTTGCTGGCTTATCAAAGCTTTTCTAGACCACATATTCAAATCTACCTGCTGTTTAAAATTTTAGCTGCTGATACTGATGGCTGTCAAAACCAGATGAAATCATTTGAGTTTGCTGCTCTTATTCTCGACATGGTTCTAGGCAATAATTTTTTTAAAATATATGAACTGATATTCTCTCTCAGAGAAGTGACAGGAAGGGATCAAGAGCAGAGGTTATCTGGAGGACCACCCACAAGGCTGAGATTTGAATCCTGGGTGCCAGTGTAAGCTTCAGCTGTTAACTTGGGCAGAGGGAACCTCAGTGGCACATTTTCTTATTGCTCATTGATGTGTGAAGACCTAGCCCATTGTGGGTGGTCCTATTCCTAGGTACATGGATCTGGGCTGGGTAAGAAAAAGTAGCTGAGCCAACCATAAGCAGTATCTTCTATGATTTCTGCTTCAAGTTCCTGCCTTTATTTCCATCCTTGGCTTCCTGGGAGGATAGAATATCACCTTTAAGCCAAATACAACCTTTTGTCCTCAAGTGGCTTTTGGTCAGTGTTTTATCGCAGTGACAAAAAAGCAAAATAGACCAATTACTTGCTCACTGTATAACCTGGACAAGTGATTAACCATTCTGTGCTTAGTTTTCTCTTCTGTACAATGAAAACTGGATCCTACATCACCAGGCTGCCGAAAGGACCGAATAAAGCAGCATAGATGAAACACTTTGCCTGTGTATTCAGTCTTTCTGTTTCCTTTCGATTTCTACTTCTCTCCACCCCCTCTCATTCCTCTCTACACTGAAGAGGCTCCTTGTCACTGAGAATGATTTGAGGTCTCTTCCTGGTGAAGTTATACAGTATCAATAACCTCCAGTGAGGAAAGAACTTGTGGTAATTGTTTGTGACTTCATCTTCCCAGACTTGAGGCAATTTTTATGACTCGGATCTTTTGGCGTGAGGTCATCATGGCCATCTATGATGCTCTTTCGTATATCTCAACTGGTTCAACTCTCTCTATGATCTTCTCAGGAGGGATAGAAACCGCCGCCCAGCAAACCTAAAATATACATTCCTCCGGTAACCTCTCCTGAACAGACTCCTATGCTCTGTGCTTTCTCAAATAGTTTTCCAAAAGTTGGCTATCCTTCATTATAGAAAATGTTTTCTCTTTTTGCAAGATGGATGCTGTGGAGCAGAACAACACGCTGGTTGCAGCTACCTCTGGTCTGTATGAAAAAGAGAATGAGAACTTCCAGTCCCACATCATTCCTAAGGTTTAACCTTCTCCTTGGGTGGCTGTGGTATGCAGCCTTCACTGTCAACCTGACTCAATTTGGAATTGCCTAGAAGATGCACCAGTGAATACCTTGAGGCCTCTCCAGAGAGGTTTCATCAAGGATGGAAGACCAGCTCTGAATGTGGACAGCAGCATTTATGGGTTGTGGTTCCAGATTGAATAAAAACCAGGGAAAGGAGGACAGTTGCTAAGCACCAGCTTTCACCTCTGTCTCCTGACTAAGGATACAATGTGAGCAGCTGCCTTGTGTTCCTAGTCCATGCCATGATGGACTATGTCCTCAAACTGTGAGATACAGTAAGCCCACCCTCCCTCTTTTATGCCCCTCCCTCCTTTATGCCCCTCCCTTCTTTCCTCCCTCTCTCTCATCCTCTCTGCCTGCCTGCCTGCTTTTTGGCTGTCTTTTTGAATTTAACTGTCTTCATTGTCTTCCTGGTAAAGCTGCATCCCCCTCAAAGAGCCAGCTACTGAGTTCATGTCAGAGACAGCCCCTGTTCCCCTTCCTAGGAAACCCACTTGGAGACTGAGCTGCCATGGGCTGCAGACTGGGAAGGGGCATGGGAGGAGAAGAGGGAGGGAGGGCAGGATTGGGAGAGAATGAGGGAGGGAGCTACAGCTGGGATACAAAATGAATAAATTGTAATAAATAAAAAATGTAAAAAGAAATAAATTTTAAAGAATAAAATTTAAAATTTAGCTAACAACCTAACCCAACTGTATAAATATAAATAAAAAATACTATACTATAAAAACTTTTGAAAATTGACAAATAAAAATTTTCATCATAAAAAAATCAGGAAGTGGAATAAAGAGGCAGAATTTTACCTTTGTCTCCACTCTTGACAGAATCTGGTCAAAATTCATGTAAACACACAGCAGCAGGAAATGATGTGCCTTCCCTCAACTATTGGCCTTAGGTGAATCTATTGAGCATTCTGAGTATTCATAAAACCAGATACTGGAGGGACAGAGGGAATTTTCCTTTTCTGTGATATTGTTTTACTGTTGCTATCAAATGTACTTCAAGAAGAGATAATTGACTGTCAGCTTATGGCACTAGCTGACTGCCCTAATCCACTGGAGAGCGAGAAAAAATAAGATGCTTCCACCTAGGAATACAGCTATGCAGGCATTGTCCTTGACCCCTATATCACCTAGAATCACTTCTTGCTGATGGAGATTAAAGACATGCCTCCTGCCCGAGGTTGGTGGACAATGAGCCTGTTTCACATTACAGATAGGGTATAGTAGTTTAAAAGTAGGAATTGGTTGCCAAAGTAAAACATTCAAGAGTGAAGGTACAAAGAGACAGCCACTGTTCATTGCTGATGGGGATGTAAAATTGTATGCTCGCTACAGAACGTAGCATAGGGGAGACTCAGAATTAAACATGGGCCAGCTGGATGGTTCAGTGGGTAAACATTCTTGCATCAAAGCCCGACTACCTGAATTTGATTCTCCAGGACCCACATGGCAGAAGGAGAGAACTGACTCTCAGAAGTCACCCTGACCCACGTCATTTCACATGCCCTCCCCTGAAGTAAACATAATAAAGGTATTTTGAAAATTAAACAGAAACCATGCGGTCCAACAATTCCACATCTGTGTATATGCTCAAAAGAACTGAGAAAAAGAACTTTCACAGGTCTTCACAACATGTCATAGCAATATTATTCCTAGCAGCCAAGAAGCAGAAGCAAAATAGAAG